AGCACTGATACCCTTTACAATAATAACACACAGGCACCAGTACAAGCAACTCCAAAAGCATATTCAGACACGTAGCACAATTTAAATTAGCTCATAACATCACAACCGACAAACCCCCAGATTTGCAGTCAGTAAACGGAACCTTCACAGCAATACCCCCTTCACATAGCCCACTTACACCTACGGAATTTAAATTGCTATCTCAATTGAACCCACAATTCTTTAATATACAAACCCCAATTGACACCTTAGCTTTCCAACACTTGACAAGATTGCACCCCAATCGACTGTTCATCAAATACATCATTAATGGCATCAAGCACAGTTTCAGGTTCAACTTCAAGGGGCCCCAGACCAAACTAATCCAAAGCAACTTATAGTCCATAGACAACTATCCTGAAGCTTTCCAAACATACTTAAACAATGAGCTTACCAACAACCAGATATGCGGCCCTTTTCATATGGATGACTCATCATGTGATCTATTTCAAACCAACCCATGCAGCTTAGTACCAAAAAAAGACACTGTCCCTACTGAATACAGGGTAATATCCTACCTGTCCTCTCCTCCTATATATAGCATAAATGACAGAATAGATAAATTAGAGTTTGCAACAAAATACGAAAACGTAACGCACGCAATTAGATAGATCAACCACTTTGGCAAAGGCTGTACGTTGTCCAAGATCGACATAAAAAACGTATATCGAATAATCCTGGTACACCTGGTAGACCAAATCCTACAAGGCATTCGCCACGAGGATAAGATATACTTCGACAAGGTTCTCGCTTTTGGAAACAGAGCGTTGGGTGGCATTTTTTGTCATTTCGCAGATACTGTGGTATGGATTGTGGCCTAGCAGAGCATTCCAGCCATAATCTATTACATAGACAATTTTTTAATCATATCACCAATATCCGACGCGCGTGAACTGGAACAATTTATACGAATTCTCAACATCCTAAATATTCTGTATAAAGAATCAAAATTGGAAGGCCCAAGCACATCCATCACCTTTTTGGGCATAACATTAGATACTGTATCCATGACAGCCTCTATACCTACCCATAAGCGTAAAAAACTAACACACACACTATCACAGTGGCTATCCAAAAAATGGTGCCTCCAGAAAGATCTTCAGTCATTAGCGGGCCTACTAGTATGGGTATGCCAGATCATCCCTCAAGGCCATCCGTTTATCCAACACTTAATTAAGGCACAGAATGACGTTACCAACCCTAGACACCACGTCCAAATATCTAAACAAATGATAACTAACATCCACTGGTGGTTATCTATGATTCAATCATGGCCAGACATACAACTGATGCAAGACCGGAATTGGATCCAGCCTCACACTTTGAACCTATTCACTGATGCGTCAAACATAGGCGGTGGCGCTACATATCAAAGCTACTTCACAGCATTTAATTGGTCGAAATCGCTAAATCTGTCCACTATGAATATCCAGATATAGGAGCTTTATTGCAGTACGAACATTCGCCCAAATATAGGAAAGGAAGAAATTAATAATTTGGACTGATAATGAAGCCAATGCTGGTGCATACTATACAGGGTATTGCAAAAACCCAGTCATCAACGAAATCATTGCCAGTCTGTACAAAGCACAAATTATGGGCAACTTCGCTCTAAAGATTGAACACATACCAGGAGCAAAAAACTTGTTATCTCACAACGGTCATCGGGAATTCATATTTAACAATCCAGTAGCTCGATACCTTCAACCTGACATCCCAGCTGAATTTTCAGACCTAATCTCTCTTATCCCATTGCTTAAACAATAAAGCTCAAACCATGATACTTATATCATTTTCGCTTAAAAAAAAAAAAAAAAAACAACAGTGATCAAAACCAACATAGCTCTGGCTCCACACTTACCTCGTACTAGCAACAACAAACTCGCCCACTTCGGAAACCAACCAACCTTAGACAAAAAAGCAGCTGCCATACTAAACATTTCAGCCCCCACTAACAAATCGTATGAAGCAATAATCAAGCGATATGAAATGCTGGCTCGAGACAACAATTGGGCAAACCAGGACGGATTCGTATGGCCAATATCAAAAAACTCCCTGATATAGTACATAACATTACTTTACAAAAATATATCACCACCCACTATACTAACCTATCTCGCAGCTCTAAAGTATCACCACGCTAGAAACTACTACGACTGGTCCGGCATATACAATGACCTTTTGGTCATACAACTTTTGAAAACTATAGATGCAGCCCATATCCTCACGCCAGTAAAGCAGAAAGCGCACATTACATAACAACATCTCTCACATATCCAAAACAAGATTGACACAAACAACCCATTAGATCTCCTCTTCTAGACAATATCTCTAACAGCCTTCTACGGTCTTACATGTCTCGGCGAACTTCTACCAAGCAACCAAGCTGACGGCAACAAGGTCTAGATACTACAGGCCCTGAATTTCGAAAAAACAAATGGCATCACTTTCGCGACAATACAACTAGCCAAAACAAAGAACCATAAAACAGCAAACTGAGTCTTCCTGATAATAAACCCCACCAATGATGCATTATGTCCAATATGCGCCCTTAAATCATACGCACATATGCGCACACACCCCAACTATGCCAAGGATAGCACAATGCTTTTTACTAAGCCTAATGGCACATGGGCCACAAAAAAGTAGTTTATATCAAAGCTCAAACAACTCCTCCTCCATGAGAACGTCGCAGGACACAGCTTCCGGGCCAGAGGCATAACTGAATTGGTAATGCGGGGCGTACAACTCGTATTTATACAAAAAATCAGCAGGTGGAACTCCGAATCATTCTATCGATATATCTGAGACCATTCGGCGACCGTCGCATCTATACTAACCAAAGCATATGCTAATTGACCCTCACATAACAACTTGGAACAAAGACGGTTCAATTAACGAAAAAAAAAACCCCCCGCAGAATCCTTGCATATACAACCCAATATTAACAATCATGGGTAATACACAAAAAAAAAAAAAAAAGAGAGAGAGAGAAAGAAATGGATACTCAGATCGATATTCACATAACATCAACAACAAAACACAAAAAACAATAAGGACAACAAAAAAAAAAAAAAATATATATATATATAATGGGGAAGAAGCATACACAGAGACACAACACGCAACCAAAAAAAAAAAAAAAAAAAAAGAAAGAGAGAGAAAGAGGCATACATATATACATAGAAAGCAAGGACGAAAGAAGAGATAGCTAAAACAAATGGAAAGAACAACCGAAACCACCCAATATCACCATCTCGCAGCAAAAATCAAAGCGCAGCAAGACGGTAGCAGGTGACCTGACATGACACCACAATTATATAAATAAAAACACATTGGCATATTCTAACAACCAAATCACCATGCAATAAGCATACAGCTAAGCTACAGTGTATCATACCCAGGAATTCATTCTAAAGCTACAAAAAACAGTGCCAACCGATTCTGACCCGAACAAAAAAAAAAATAATAATAAAATAAATAAATAAATACGCATAATATAGAATAAAAAAAAAAGCGAATAAAACAAACAAAAAAAAAAAAAAAAAAAACAAATGACAGAATTACACAATCTTGGAGCTATCACATGATTCTGCCATTCTAACAGCCGGCCTGCGCTGGCAGGCGGGAAACCACCGGCTGAATGTAAATAACTATGCTAATAATGCTCGTCTAATTCCCACCTGGTCTGTTACAGTGATTCCCAGCGCAATTACCATTGCTAACTTTCGGGTCAAATCATTGTTTCAGTTCCTATTATTCTTCACATCTGTTACTACGTCTATTCCTAATAAAATTATCTCCAGCTCTATTCCGGCTGGCTTCACCCCAAACATAATGTGTGCGTGCAAATGTTTTTCGTGTCATATAAAATTATACGTAATCATATAATACGTCACATTAATACGTCACGTCAAACGTCACATTCAAATCGAAAATGTGTACCAGGTTGTGCTCTGGATGATCATGTTGTTGCCCGGAAATCAAACCAAACGATCCAACAATCATTAACGATTAATTAAATAAACTATCGCTATACTAATGATAATTATCGTTATTTTAAAAGCTAATTCGTTTCTTTATTAATTCATTTCATGTTTAGCTCATATTTTGCTTCATATTTCGCTTCATATTTCGCTTCATATTTCACTTCCACTTCGCTTCACACTTCGCTTCACATTTCATATAAATAAAAAAAAAAAATAATAAAATTAAATAATAATAAAAATACAATCCGATTCGTTCAACTTTGCTGATTTATCTATTCCACTCCAAAAAATTTTTTGACCCAATAATACTTATAAAGTTGAATATTGACAGCTTAATGTAGTTTTATATGTGGATCTTAACAGTAACGAAGGTGTCTTAAATCGGTTAAACGAATTTCAGAAAATATCAAAGACCACTATGCATCTAACCAAACCTTTATTGTCAAAGAAAATAAAGTAATAAAGTTATTTTTCGAGGAAAAAAGATACTGTATATAGACAACTATTTGCCAGTACTAAAAATTTTAAGAAAGAATACGAAAAGCTGATCTTTATCATTGGGCAAACTGGCTTCTTATCTTTATCAACGGAATTCTACTATAAAGGCTGAATCATTACGATGTGGAGCAAAAATTCAAGTGCAACCTGCATCATTACAACGAAGAAAGCATAGAAAATGCACGTAAACAAAGAAAAACTTCGGAAAAAATGCATAATTTATCAAAAAACATTAACGCGAATAAACAAAATTAATAATGTAAAAGTTTTTAATCTTTTATATTGTAATATTTACGCGAAGTACATAGTAATTTAACCGTGTGCTAAATGAAACTTCAAAATTTTTTCCGGATATTCATTCCGGACTATCCGGAGCGCAACCTGGTACACATTTTCGGGTTGCACGTCATAGTCTATGTTAATTGATATTTTAATGTCTGTAACTCTAAGTTATAACCCGGGTAAGACCTCTATGTGAGTGTGATAATTCTCGAATACCGTAATTAAATAAATCAGAATTAGTGATTTGGTAATACGTAATAATAATAATAGTTTAAACAAAATTTATCGTTATACATATCACTATGAACCATTTTATGTTCTATTAAAAAAGTCAAAATTTAGGTCCTTATCCTAACCCGAATGCTAAACTAGCTCGAATTTTTTAAAATTTCGAAAACCTGGTGGGTAGGGTTGTTAATGGGGTGGGTTGGGTTGAGCTATTCCTCATTCCACTCCAAGTTGGGTTGGACTCACTCTGGAGCCACTCCAAATTTGCTTATAGCTACTCCAGTTTACTCCAGTTTCACTCCAGCATATTTTTAACCCACTCCAACTTGGGTTGGGTTCACTCCGGGGTTGCTCCGGAGTATGCCACTCCATTAACAACCCTACTGGTGGGTATACGGTGATTAGTTAACATGGTTTATAATTGGGTGATGGGTAGACAAATTCTGTGTAGCTTTATTATAAAAACCAGATAAACCTGACCGCTTATTATTCATTCATCTGGATATAACAATTAACAAAAACAAACTTCTTGGAAACAATACAATATGATATTATGTTAATTGTCAATTTAGTAATCATTGTAAAGATTTGATCCATTCTCTATCCTCAGTTCTATGCAATAAATGCCCTACTACACAAGTCTTTTTTCCTTCAAACGCAATTCCCATTTCCAAAAGCCTTTTGACTTCGTCTTGTAAACCTGCTCGATACTGCTTCTTTTCAATTTGACATAATCCTTCATGAGCCACATCGTGTAAACTTTCATTATCATGAACAACTTTAAATTCAAAAATGATAACCATATCACCAACACCCGATTTTGGAATTATTTCTACATCATATCTCCCCAAACCAGCCTCACGATTAGAATGAACGATATAGCCTTGATCACGAGCAACAACGAACATTCCCAAGCAAAAGGCATGGTAAACATTTTCTGTATTTTTTTCAGATTGAGACCCCCAACATCATAAAACGAAAGCGTATCTATAACTATATATTCAAATTCTTTCCTAAATAAATCCAGATTACCAAGCAGAAGATTATCTAACATTGATGTAATGGTTTGCCCTCGAGTAAAAAACGGTACATGGATCACCCATTTATGCTATTCTAAACAAACCTCATTATTTGGAATAACGAGATGTTTCTCAGAATTCATAGTGAGATATCCTGCATAATACAAAAGCATCCAAATAGCCGAATCTTGATATTGATCCAAATATAAATATTGAAGATCATCTTGAATCTCAATACCAGCTATATATTCCTCTTTTAACAACTTCTCGACGATTTTCTTAAATGAAGTACTTGTCTTCCATATACATCTTTTCAATATTTGAGTGCTTCCTGTATCAACCCAATAAGTATTTAAGGTACCTCGTGAAAGAAAACAAACAATAGACCACGGATTATATAAATGTATATTGTCTCTTAAGATGTACCCGTCATACTATACATTGACAGTAATAATTCTACCTCATCAGGTGTAAATCCAAACTTATCTACGTAAAGAGGGAATTGACTTTCTTGATGCAAAGGGTAAACTATAATATTATTTAACTCTAATAAAAACCCTGATTTTGTGATCCGCAATACACCGACCAACATTGCCTTCGCAATATTTTCATCATTGCTCTTATAACCAATCAGAAGTAGAGATTACTTGTTTGGTTATAAAACATTATCGTGATAATAAAAGAAGAGTATAAATCTATCCTACCTTTAATAATGATGAGAATATGACTTTAAAAAAATCACTTGCAATTTCATAATATCCTTTATTATAAGCACATTCCATTGGGGAATCATATTCATCAATTAATACAATACAATTTTTTTTATAATGCTTTTGCAGATATTCGGAGAGTTCCCGCAATGCAAATTTCAATTCAGATACAGGATAAGTTTGATCTCTCTCAAGAATTCATTGGTATCTTTTTTGTGTATCAGGATATAAATTATTAATAAGATAACAGTGTTTTCCGTAAATTACAGCTACAAGTACTTTTAGTTGTATTATCATTTCATTCCATGTTTCAGACATTAAATCCTATTTTGTGATGGACTAAGTAAGAAAAAAATTATCATAACAAATGAAAATTATCATTA